CACAACAAAGGCAGGGAAGGAGAGGAATGGTGGCAAAGTGAAAAGTGGGAACGGGGAGCCTCGGTTCTGATCTTAGCTCTGCCAGTTTCTACCATGGGGCCTGGGGCCAATCACATTCTTCTGTGTTTTCCATCTATAAAATGGACATCCTGACCCCTATCTTGCCAGGTTCTTGTGCCAATCAGATGAGGTCAGAGTAATAGCTGAGATGCCAAGAGCTTACTCTGCCCCGGGAACCACGCACTAGGAGCTGAGTGTGTGCACATGATCGGGGTTCTGATCTTAGCTCTGCCAGTTTCTACCATGGGGCCTGGGGCCAATCACATTCTTCTGTGTTTTCCATCTACAAAATGGACATCCTGACCCCTATCTTGCCAGGTTCTTGTGCCAATCAGATGAGGTCAGAGTAATAGCTGAGGTGCCAAGAGCTTACTCTGCCCCGGGAACCACGCACTAGGAGCTGAGTGTGTGCACATGATCGAGATCGTGAAGGATCAGTATAGAGTAGGAGGAGGAGAGGTGGCCACAGAGGGAAAAGACTCTGGATCCAAACAACGTCCAAGGGAGGGGGAGAGAGTACCCTTGTTCCCAAACCCATTCATGTCCTGGATTTGGAGCCCATCCCACCGTTTTTCCTGCTAGCCCCTTTGAATGCGAGACCAGGGGCCGGTCTTCACTCGCCGGTGGCTCTCAGTCACAGGGCACCATCATAGGGCTGGGAGGCAGGGGGTGAGGGGTCAGGACCAACAGACCTCACAGCCCTCTCTGCCCTGCCCTCTGCTTCTTTAGATTAGAGAAGCAACTTTAGGAAAAATGCCAAGAGGGACCTGGCTAGCCACTGAAGGGGGCTTCCTGACCCCTGAACTCACTGGGAGAGCCCCAATTCCCCTCCTTTTGTCATATCCCGTGTATTTGTTATCACTGCTATTACTATTAATTGGTTATCTAAAGGGTTCTATGATGAGCTCACTGGGTGACCCAGAGCAAGGCACATCCCCTCTCTGGGTCTGGGTTACTTCCCTTCTAAAGTGACAAGGTCAAAGGAAGATGGAGAGAGAAGACTGAGAAGATACAGCACCTGCAGGGGTTCTTTCCAGTTTTTGCCAGACAGGAATAATCCCCAATTATTTGCTCTGCTATCTTTTGAATAAGACATTGGCCCCACAAGGAAGAAACAACTGGGTTGATGAGAGATACTACCCATAAAAACGATGTGACTTACCCATCATCACACAGCTGGTAAAGTGACCAAGTAGAACACAAACTCAGGTGCTCTAGGTCCCAGGTCTCTGTACCCTTCGTGAGAGGGACATTCTGGGGAAGGTCCAGAAAGTTGGAAAAGGACTGTCATCTGGCACCTGGGGATGTGGTCCATATCTGCCTCCTCCCTCTGTTGGGTTGGGAGATGATGGACACCAAGGCAGAATGGGGGGGATGGGATGAGACTGGAACCTTGGACAGATGCCGAGAGCTCCAAGCATCCAGACTTAGGTCAAGCCACAGCTCTAGGGACAGACAGGCCTGACTTCAAATCCCAGCTCCTCTATTTACTAGCTGTGTGACCTCAAGCAAGTAACTCCACCTCTCTGAGCTTGCTCTATAAGTTGGGTTTAAAAATGCCCACCCCAAAGTCTGGTTGGGTGGATTCAATAAGATGATGCTTGGTACATAGTAGGTACTCCGAAAGTGGGAGCTGTTATTCGTGGGGTTCCCTACCCAGCCAGACTACAGAAACCCTCACTAGCCTTCTCCCTCAAGCAAGCGTTCCTGAGAAGACATCATCCGTGGCTGGGAAACCTTCCCGCCAGCCCACTGGGCTTATCATTAACATATTTCTCATAGCTTGGGAAATGTCCAGCAAGTTCTGTCTAGAGTAAACAGAAGCTGGGCCCACATCTTCCAACCTCAGGGACTCTAAAAAGGCAGGAAAAGGAAATAACTGCTGACCCCACTACTCCTGAGATGGAGCAAAGGTGAGGTCCTGGGTGCAGGAGGTGCCAGCAGCCTGGGGACTGAGAATGCAGGCCTGAGCATGTGCTGTGGGGAGGCGATAGTCAGAGCAGCAGGAGGCAGCAGAGGGTGGGGTGACAGCCCAGCTTAGGGCATTGGGCAGCCCCAGAAACTGCCCATTCTTCTCCACACAGTAGCCAGAGCAGGCTCTTAAGGCCCATCATGCATGGCTCCTCATCTCACTCCAAATAGAAGCTTAAGTCGTGGTCTGGTCCCCAATCCTCCCCCACCCCAATCATGCTGCTGCAACCCCGTTGGTTTCCTCGTTATTCCATAATAGGCTTCAGGCTGCAGCCGTCTATTCTCTCTGCCTGGAATGCTCTTCCCCTCAATGTTTATATGGATCCTCCCTCACTTCCTTCAAGTCCTCTTCAAAAACCCCCTCTCCAGAGGCCTTCCCTGACCACCTTATCTAAAACAGAAGCCCCATCACCCTGTGATATTCTTCCTTATGATTTACCGCTACTGGACATTGTAGTTTATATCTATTTGGTTTATTGTTAATCTTCCCCAATGGAATGTAAGTCCCATGAGGGCAGGGGCTCTGTTCAGTTCACTGCTGTATCTCCAGCCCCTGGAATAATAGCACTGGGCACAGAGTAAACTCAATACATATTTCTTGGAAGAATGAACTAATAATTGATTGAATTCTGGCTCCACAATTTTCTAGCTTGTATTGTCTTGGGCAGGTCATTTCATTTCTCTGAAGCTTCCAATGCAAAAGACAGCAAACATCTACCTTACAGGTTATTATTTCAATTAAATAAAATAATAGAGACTAAAAGGAGCTGACACTTAATAGGTGCTCAATAGATGACAACTAGAATCACTATGATTATCACCAAGAGTCTCAGGCTATCACCTGCTCACTGTGAGGCTGTGGGCAAGCTGATAATCTCCGAGCCAGTCTGTTCATCTGCCAAATGTGGTCATAGGAGCACCTGTCTCCCTTGAAGGGTGGTTTGAAGGATGCCCAGGCAATGTACTTAGTCCAGCACCTAGCAGGAGTTCTGACACACAGTAGGCACTCACCAAGTGGCAGCTTCTGCAATCCAGGAGAGTCTACGATTTGGATCCGGGCCCACCACGTTCTTATTCTGTGACATTGAAGAAGTGTCTTAACATTTTTGAGCTTCATATAGGAAATGAGGATAATGGTAGTACCTTCCTCACAGGTGTCCTGAGGATGCAATGAGATGGTGCACCTAAAGGGCTTCACAAAGCCCTAAGGAAATGTGTTGTGACAGGTAGGAGGTTGAGCCACAGGCATGTGGGACAGGGATCGGGGTGAAGAAAGAAACCCTCATAATGCAGAGGGAGGACAGACCCAAGAGTGGTGCTTGGCCTGAGCTCTGAGGTGGGTCACAGAGAGAGCGCACAGCTGAGAAGCAGCAGAGAGCCTTGCCCGAGCAGCACCCTGCACAGAAGGTACTTCTGCCCCCAGCCCCCCACCACTGCCTCCTCCTCTTCTTAGGGCCTTGTGGGGACTTCTCCTGGTTAGTCTGGGCAGGGGGAGTTTCCAAGGGAGGCGACTTCATCCTCAGCCAACCTCCCACCCTACCAGGAATACACAGTTTGCCCAGGGAAAAGACTTAGATTGGAAGCCAGAAGAGGGAAAAGACCAGAAACAGTTTCCCTCCTCTAGCCTAACTGCTCCTGCCCACACAGCCCAAACCTCAGGGCAGAGGACTCACAAACCTTCAATCTGCTTTCAACCCCAAGTCTAATCTGGCCTCTCACCGACATCCTAGGGCAGACCCTGGAAAAGAAGACCTTGAAGAATGGGTCCTTGGAAGTTAACACCAGACACCTCAAGCTCCAACCCATGAGAGTTTGAGGAGAGAAGTCCCTAACTGACCTGGACCCTTCCACCACACTCCCTTGTTCAGCTTGTGCCTGGCAAAACATAGATGGGGATACACAGATGACTCAGTCAATTAATCCCTAGACTGCATGCTCTATACCAGGCATGATCTTTTATCTCTTTTGTTCTTTGATGGATTTCCAGTTCCTGAAGAGTGCCTGGCACTTAGTAAGTGCTTAATAAATGTATGTTGAATGAATGAACCCATTAATGAAGCAATGAGAATCAATGAATTACTAGAAGTGCAATTCCCTGCAGAATGGGATTTTTTCCCCTGTGATCTTTGATAACTCCCCAGGGCCTAGAATAGAAACCTAGCACATAGGAAATGCTAAGTAAATGCATGGGAATTAATGATTGAATTAATCATTGAATCAATGACTCATGAGAATGGAATCTCTCTGAAGGCAAGGATTTCCATCTGCTTTAAGGCTACCTTCTCAGTGCCTAGAACAGTGTCTGGTGCATCATGGTATTGAATGAACCTGTGAATGAATGAATAATTGAGCAGGGCCCCCAGCTCAGCGCAAAGACCACAGACCAGGAAGAATGGAGCACAAAAGGACCACCCTGCCCCACCCTGGCCTCAGCCACCACTCGCCTTATGGTTTTTTAAATAATTTGTCGGTTGTTTTTAATTGTTGAGGCAGTAATACTTGGTTCATGAAACTGCAATATACAGAGAGGTGAAATAAATAGCTTATATATATATAATATATATAATATAGCTGGTTTTAAAATATTCCCTTATCATTGGTGTACTAGGTCACGTGAGTCACGGAAGGTCTATAGCAGCATCCTCCAGAACTGTGAGCAATGCAGGGTCACCATGATTGGACGAGGCCGTCTGTCGTCAGAAGGTCGAGGCGCGGAGAAATCCCAGGGGCACGCCTTCCCTGCGCGGTGTCTCGGGACAGCTTGCAGTGGACAATAAATAAATGACTGCAAACCAGAGAGCGATTTTTGTTGGAGTTTGGGGCAGGGATAAGGGGTTGGGAAAGTGGGGGAGTTTGTTGGGGGAGGGGATACTACTTTCTCTTTGTTTTTTTCTTTCTTTTTTTTGTTTTTCTTTCAGAACCTTTGGGAAAAAGGACTTTGGTTTCTCAGAGTGTCGGTTTCCTCATTCAAGTCCTCCTCTGGGGACGAGTTTAGAGTTGTCTGTTCCTAAAGAGAGACAAGCACCTGTGGGTTGACAACAGTCCCTCTGCCTGAGTCTTTTGTCATCAGGGTTTTCAAGTCAACAATAAAATCCTTATCGCCCCTCCCCCCAAGAGTTTTGGTTCAGTTTTTGTCTTCTTTTAAACACAATGTACAAAAATAGAGCTTCTTCCTTATTTTCATGTAAAAATATTCCTCTGATGCAGTTCTCTGGGAGCATGAGTGTGGGCAGGGTGGCCTGGGGCCCAGGGCAGGGCCGGCCTAGCCTGGGTGCGTGGGACGGATCCGCCGGGACCTCTTGGTCACCGTCGTGTACTTGAAGGGCTTCTGCAGCTCTGCCTGCCCCTTGGGGTAGCGCTTCATGAAGTGCACATCCTGCTGGTTCTCCCGGGTCTTGGGGCCCTTCCGTGGCCGCCCCTTCTTGGTGAAGCCCACGTACCAACCAGAGTACTTGGCCGACATCAGGGCCGTGTAGTTATTCTCCAGAACCTTCTCGATGAATACACACTCCTTGCTGGTGCCATCAGGCTGCAGGGAAGAGAGAAGGAGTGTTAAAGAAAAACTCACTCAATGGTACTTGTTAAAGTATGGTAGGAAAGGCTTTATGTTCTCCAGAACCTTCTCGATGAATACACACTCCTTGCTGGTGCCATCAGGCTGCAGGGAAGAGAGGAGGAGTGTTAAAGAAAAACTCACTCAATGGTACTTGTTAAAGTATGGTAGGAAAGGCTTTATTCAGGACCATCACAATAAGTGTAGGGACCGCTGTAATGAGGTTCTGCAGTGGAGGAGAGACTGGGCTCTATTCCGAATGCAGCATGGGCAGGTGGGAATTTATGCCAAGGAGTAGGGTCGGGGTCAGTGGATGGAAAACCACTGAGAGGAAACATCAGGGCTAAGGGGAATTCTGGCTAAACCAACCTAGCAGGATTCTTGCTGAAGACAGGCCAAGGTGACCAGATACCACCTGGGAATGGTGGAGGATGAGGAACCTGATTAGATATTGAGGGTGATCAGACATCAAGGGGGAGGTGGTTCTTGCCAAAGTGACTTAGCAGGGTTCTTGCTAAAACTGGACTTTATAAGGAAGTGCACAGATGGGTCTAGGAGGTGGCTCAGGAACGCAGCACAGTACAGAGGGCCAGACTTGAGCTTTTCACTTCCTGTATCTGTGGACTGGACTTTTCCTGGTCACATCATTTGGGCTCTGGATCCAGCAATATCTGAAGCCCAAGTTACCTCACCATTATGTGGGCCAATAACGTTACATATTTGTTAAACCAGTTGCAATAGAAATGAGTCCTGACAGATTTGCACAAAACCTGCAGTTCGACTCCACTGTGATACAGTTAAATATAAATTATATTCAATTAAATTTATATATAATTAAATCACGTTTAATGTGTTACATTTAATATTCGGTATGAAGTGGGGCGAAAGCCTCCAAAAATGGGAGATTTAGCATGGCCAAACTCCAAAGCTTATGCCCTTGGTTCTGGGATCTCAGACGCCCTAGCAGACGTGTGAAGTCCCTTGGGAGACTAGGGATGCTGGGCAAGGAAAACTAAATTTGGAGTCAGCAGCCAAATGAACTCTAACACTTCCTAATGTGACCTCAGGCTAGTTAATTCCATTCTCTAAACCTCAGATTTCCCACTCACCAAATGGGAACAATGACTTCTGCGTCATAGAGATGTTGTGAGGAATGATGCTTGTAAATGAGTCTGACGCACAGTGGGAACTTGCTAGATTATTTTTGAAGAGCAGGTGGTTGGGATGGGGCTGGGCTGCCTCCCTTCGATCTGTTCTGGACGAAGGGAGGTAGAAAGGCAGGGCTTTGAGCCTCCTCCCAGGGACAGCTGAATTGCTTGATGGGGAAGAGTGGGAAACACACAAAGTTGGAAGGCCTGTATTAGCAACACTCGAGTTTCCAACTAACATCTCCAAATTTAGGCCGGGTCCACTCCTCGTTACGGATGGATACCCAGCCAAGTTGGAAGCCCAGCGGTCTGGCTGTGTGTGGAGACTGAGGTGCGAGTTCCAGCCTTTTGTTTGAAGTGGAAAACGGGCTAGAGCTTCCAGGAACGTTCACCTTTGAGCGGAGGGCAAGCTTGGGCCCTGCAGACAAAATGCTGAACTTTGCAGAAAGGGACAGGCAGGGTAAGAAAACAATCTCTGAAAGATGAGATCTTTCGAGGAGGCTGCAGAATGATGGGGTGGGCCTGGGAGACATCCACGGAACCCAGAGAACAGTATGGGTAGGGACAGTAGTGAGCAACTACTGTAAGGGAAGCCAGGGCAAATGTGCAAGGCGGGTAGAAGGGAATGGTCCCTGGGTCTCCCATGGAAAAATCTGGAACCTGCCTATCCAACCTGCGCCCAGGTTCTTTGACTTGTCTTGACAGAATGGTCAGAGCAAACTGAGCAAAGTCTACACCCTGCTGTCCCCCACCTTAGAATACCTGCCATTGCCTGAAAAACTGCTTTCATCCTTCAAGGCTGAGCTCAGTAACTACCTCCTCAGAAACACCCTCCCTGACTGCCATTTATCTCCCAGTGCAATTCTTCCTTCAAGACTCCATTCAAGCACCAAGTTTATGGGGTTCACATACTCCATCTTCTGAACCCCCTCGGCACCCATCCTTCCCCCATGCCCCAACAATCCCACATCTGCCTACCTCATTAGCCAAAGAGCTTCCTGAGATCAAAATAGCACAGACCTTAGCCCAAGACAGGGGTGCCCAGAGCATTTGTGGTTGAATGGATGGGAGTTTTGCTAGGATGGAAACGGTGGGGATGGCACATGAAAGGGGTCTCCTGTAAAAGGAAATAGACTCTGCCTCCTGGATCCTTTACAAACATCCAGAGATGGTCATGAGCTATGAGAGGGCCCTCCTGATAGAGGGACTGATTAGGGAGGCAGGTGAGCGGAGGTCTGGAGCTCTCTACCTGGCCCATTTGATCTCCTACTCATTCATTCACTCTTTCATTCACCATCTACTGATTGCCGACTCCAGGCTGACACTTCTACACCCATTATTTCATTTCATCCTCTTTACTCATTGAGGTCGACTCACCTAGTAGAAGAAAATAGAGCTCAAAGAGTCAAAAGGGCTGCCCAATATCATGGAGCTTGTAAATGGCAGAGCTGGGATTTGAATTTGCCCTAGCCACTGCAGCTCACTTCTCCTGTCCAGTTCCAGAGAAGTCCATGAGGAGAAAGGGTGAGGGAGAGCAGGTGCTGCCCGTCACGGCAGAGCTGGGATTTGAATTTGCCCTAGCCACTGCAGCTCACTTCTTCTGTCCAGTTCCAGAGAAGTCCATGAGGAGAAAGGGTGAGGGAGAGCAGGTGCTGCCCGTCAGAACACCTCCCCTCCCCAGACTCTCGTAGCCACCATCAGCACAAAGCCAGGTTTTGGATGGGCAAGGGGCTACCAGTGCCTGGCACAGATGCTCAGCACTTGTCTGGGTTTACTTGAGAGAGCTGAGGAGCTGGGCTTTGGGAGAAGTTCCCAACACTCCAGAGCACAGGGAGCCCCTTGGGAACCAGCTATAGGGACTATGATGATCACAAGTTCCTCTCCATGAACTCAGGCACAAGTGGATAAGAACCTAACCTTGCCTCTGCTTCTAACTACCCCTATGACCCTGCCATCACCTACAGAGATTTAAACAACACCTGTGCTAAGGCTCCACCCCCAGAAATTCTGACTCAGTTGGTTCAGGCAAGGCTGAGCACCAGCATTTAGAGAATAAATAAGTATCCCATTGGTGACTTGGTAGAATTTGATCATTTCTCCCCAACCACCACTTCCAATCCCCCTCTTTACAAACTGCAGTCCTAGTACTTCTATTTGATCTGAAAACTGAGTCCTGATGACATCATTTGGCCACTAGATCCAGTCTTACCTGAAACCAGAACTTCCCCCCAGACTCTTTCTAGCTCTTTAATCCAAAAATTTCCCTTTTTGCTTAAGGCATTTTGAGTTGGGTTTCAATCTCTTACGACCAAAGTAATCTTAACAAAAATGTGCTGGTGGGTCTGTGGGAGTTGCCCCAAAGAGGACTCATTGGTGACCACACAGTGGGGACAGATGAGAAAGATCCAGTCCAGGTTGAGTATCCAGAGATGGGGGAAAAAATGCCTCGCACGTAATGCTAGATGCTCAATAGCTATTTATGAATGAAAGGAAGCACTACCTCCTAGGCCAGATGGATGTGGGTTCCACACTGATAGCAAGGAGAAGGGGGGCTACCTGAGCCGCAGGGGTTTGGGAACAGAGCTTTGGCAGATGATTGGTACAACACAGCAGTGGGAGTAACTACAGCCAAGGCCTGCAGCATCAGAAGACTTTGCTGAGGGCTCAGTGAGTGGGCCCTGCTGTGCCAGAGATGTGCAAGACTGGAGCCCAGAGTCAAACAGCCCAAGGGAACTGTTTTGTTGAGCCACTCCGAGAAGCTGGAGCCAGAGCTGAGGCCAGGGATTGCCACAGGTGAAGGAGTAACTTNCCTTCTTGGTGAAGCCCACGTACCAACCAGAGTACTTGGCCGACATCAGGGCCGTGTAGTTGTTCTCCAGAACCTTCTCGATGAATACACACTCCTTGCTGGTGCCATCAGGCTGCAGGGAAGAGAGGAGGAGTGTTAAAGAAAAACTCACTCAATGGTACTTGTTAAAGTATGGTAGGAAAGGCTTTATTCAGGACCATCACAATAAGTGTAGGGACCGCTGTAATGAGGTTCTGCAGTGGAGGAGAGACTGGGCTCTATTCCGAATGCAGCATGGGCAGGTGGGAATTTATGCCAAGGAGTAGGGTCGGGGTCAGTGGATGGAAAACCACTGAGAGGAAACATCAGGGCTAAGGGGAATTCTGGCTAAACCAACCTAGCAGGATTCTTGCTGAAGACAGGCCAAGGTGACCAGATACCACCTGGGAATGGTGGAGGATGAGGAACCTGATTAGATATTGAGGGTGATCAGACATCAAGGGGGAGGTGGTTCTTGCCAAAGTGACTTAGCAGGGTTCTTGCTAAAACTGGACTTTATAAGGAAGTGCACAGATGGGTCTAGGAGGTGGCTCAGGAACGCAGCACAGTACAGAGGGCCAGACTTGAGCTTTTCACTTCCTGTATCTGTGGACTGGACTTTTCCTGGTCACATCATTTGGGCTCTGGATCCAGCAATATCTGAAGCCCAAGTTACCTCACCATTATGTGGGCCAATAACGTTACATATTTGTTAAACCAGTTGCAATAGAAATGAGTCCTGACAGATTTGCACAAAACCTGCAGTTCGACTCCACTGTGATACAGTTAAATATAAATTATATTCAATTAAATTTATATATAATTAAATCACGTTTAATGTGTTACATTTAATATTCGGTATGAAGTGGGGCGAAAGCCTCCAAAAATGGGAGATTTAGCATGGCCAAACTCCAAAGCTTATGCCCTTGGTTCTGGGATCTCAGACGCCCTAGCAGACGTGTGAAGTCCCTTGGGAGACTAGGGATGCTGGGCAAGGAAAA